GCTGAAATCCTTTCCGGAGTGAACACAGAAGCACACCAGACGACTTCAAATAATTTCTTAACATCAGTGTGTCAGGCTTTGTGCCGGTGTAGCACACAGGCTCACATAAACTCATTACCAGCCTTCCTCTGTTTACACAGCGAGTCAAGTGTCTTGCTGCTGTCCCATCTGCTGGTGCTGACAAACACACCATTAACAGGGACACACACTTCTCTATAAATTCACATCATCCGATACGCATTGGGATGAAGTGGAAAAGCCTTGAATAATAATGTTAATGCATGTTTTTCCAGCATAGGTTTACAGATACTGTAATGAAACATTCAGGTGGGCATATGGTGCGTGGGACTCTGTTAGGATGGAAACACTGAGGCAACCGAGCTTATCCGGTGACCCAGGGATAGTGAACGCAAAACCCCTGTCTGTGATCTGCCCTTGCGTTGTGGCTGATCAGATGACTGGATGCCGGGAATTAATCGCTTCTCATTTTCAGACAAAGACAGACAGTCTCGTCATGGTTTGGAAAAGCTGACAGAGCGTGCAAGAGTGAGAATACACTGTTTAGGCCTAATCTGCTCATTAAATGCCTGGGATTAATTAAGGATCATGTTTTCTGCTGATGTCGCTCATTATTAAGTCTCTCTCCGAAGTCTGCTAAAATCACAACAGCTGTATCATCATGCATATTCTGCCTTCATTACTGCAGACTGTGGTGCAGATCCAAGTGTATGGTAATGAAAGTGCACGATGAATTGGCAGCCACTTGTCATTGGAACAGTGAGCAGGTGGTTTCAGGACAGGGGATCAGTCTCTGCTGCCATCTGCTGCTCAGAGACACAAACTGCCTGTCAAAAGTGGGCTGGAGTTATTACATCTGAAATAATAAGAAAACGTTAGGGTTTTTATGTTTGAAAATAAATAAATAGCCTAGTTTTAAAAGACATTGATAAGCCACTTAAACTGGACTGTTGTTGGCTTGTGTGTTTAGAAAAATGAATTGGGACATGTCCGATTAAAAGAAGTGCTACATCAATTGCACTTACATGAAACCAGTCACCAATAACAGACAGATATTTAAGAAAATTGTCCAAATAAAAGCAACAGAATGTTAAGAAATCTGGAATTTCTGGTATTTGTCAAGCTTAAGAATTGATACTTATGCCTATAATGCAACAATAGCATTACATTAAACCATTCGTGGACTACTTTTTGGCATCTTGATAGCCGCCATTTGTTGTTGTTGGGAAACCAGAAGTGACACAGGGTGGAACTAACGCGAAAAAAAAAAAAAAGTTTTAACAACATTATTTATTGACTTTTCATTCCGGTATAATCATTTTGCGCAAAGATGGCACTGTTTGTCAGAGCACTTCATCCTTCTGGGATTTCATGAAGAACAGCTCCAACGCCTGTGTGTATGGGAATGCCTCTGGTGCTGGTCCATTAACTGCCAGTGTTTCCCACAGATCTGAAATATACTTTGGGGGGTGGTGGTAGCGGGGGGGGGGGGGGGGGGGGGGGGGGGGGGTTGAGGTGACGTGCAACAACATTAACCTTTCTGTTGGTCGCTTGTTAGCAGACCCTTCACGCGATGGCAGAGCGAACAGGTACAGGCAGGGCCCATAATGATAGCCCTATAGTTTAAATCTACTACCCACACATGAACATATGGAAATGGGTTACTATTTAAAAAAATAAATGTATTTAGGAACCTATCCATGTGATTTTTAGTGGGGGTCGACCTCAAATCCTCTAGGGGGGTCCAGGGGCATGCCCCCCCGGTAAGATTTTATTTTTTATTTTGGAGTTAAATGCATCAATCTGGTGCATTTTGAGGGGAAAATAAAGAGACTAGATCTATGGAAACACCTATATTTAACAGAACTGTATACATTTCAATAATCATAAAATCAAGGCCATAACCAATAACATACCATTTCCAATATGTTAAAAACACTGAAACTTGTTTATTAATTTAGTTTTGGTTCATTTATAGTTGTGAGTGTGTCTGTGCTCCTGAATCAGCCTCTCCTGTCTCCCTCCTCTCCCCCCTCTCCATCCTCTCCCCCTGCTCCTCTTTGAGGCAGCAGCAAAGACTAGTTTTCTCTCAACAAGTTTTAAAAGTGTATCTTACCTTTTTTCACCTAGTTAACTTTTTATTTATTTATTCATGCATATTTTACTAATCACATTACATTTAGCTGACGCTTTTATCCAAAGCGACTTATAATGACCGATTACAGGGACATTCTCCCTGGAGTAACTAAGGGCTAAGTGCCTTACTCAAGGGCACACTAGTGGTGGTGTTCCTGGCGGGATTTGAACTCACAGCCTTCCGATCTTCAGCCCACCTCACTATCCATTAGACCAATCACTACCCTCTCAAATGGAAATATGTGTTTACATAAATGGTGACCACACCGTATGAGACCCACTGAGAACTTAGACTAAGTTAACTATCTAAACACTCAGAGAGTCCTTTACCTCACCTGAGCTGAGGTTATCCCGAGCTTGAATGACACACAGAGACCAATCAAGGGCTTTGATTTATGATCTGTATGACAGTGGCCATGTCGGCAGGCCACATCATGTGGACAGCCAGTCACCCTGTGTGAGGCAGGCCACTTAACAGGCCAGAAGGAGGCGAGATCAGAGCAAGGGAGCGAGGGATCATTGTCTACAAGTTAATCGATCGCAGATGGCGTCGTGGTCACGGACGAATAAAAAAAATATATATAAAAAAAAAATTTTATTTAAAAAAATAAATGGGTCGCGAAATATACTTGGGCGGCCGTTAATATACCTGGGCGGCCCGCCCAAGTATAGTTTATGTGTGGGAAACCCTGATATATATAACTGTATTGAAGAAGAGTTGAAACTATGCAAGTCCTGAAGAAATTGCTAGTGGGAATGCTTTATGCTGAAAAGCTGACGCTAAACTGCTATGCTGAAATGTAATGTGTAAGAAGAAAGTGAATCATTTAGATTGAAATGATACGTGAACACTGGGGGCTTGAATGTGTGATGAGAGAAGAAAAGAAAGTAAAATGGCTTGGAAAAGCAGCAGAATATTTGAACTGCAAACTTTTGAACTAACTTGATGGCGAATGATCTGTCGCCATGCCAACAGCATTTGATGACATCCCATAATATATATATTTTAATTTTATTTCATAATTTTAAGCGTCTTTGGGTTCAAGAAAAGCGCTATAGAAATATAATTTATTATTATTATTATAATACGCTTAGACTGCATCGTTACCAAACCTGTGAAGTTTTGGGCCGTTTGGAGCATTTTCACTGAAGTTATGAGAAAACAGTGTTTCATGGCGAGCCTTGTGTTACCATGGCAACGACATTTGAAGAAATCTCAAAACTCTCACGTAGATGTCTTCACGGCTGGACTGTTAGCACACATGTGAAGTTTGAGCACTTTTTGAACATTTTCATAGGAGTTATAGCGACATCGTGTTTTATGGCGCGGGATGCGTTTCCATGGAAACGACATATGACACCCCATAATTGACGTAGACCTGTTGAGGGCAGGACCATTAACCTTTATCTGAAGTCTGCTGCTCTGAGCATGTCAGTTGGAGTTATGACATCATCGTGTTCCATGACTCAGGTGTTTATATTTGAGCTAACGAGGTGTCCAGAGATCAAAGGTTTCCATTGTTCTGAATGAGAGATAAACCTCTTACATGTGAACGTTTTGTTGAAGAACCGTAACAGATATCGGTGAAATTTCAAAGCGTGAAGCATCTCAAGGACCTTGAGTATCTGAAGTGTGCTTTTTGTGTCCTTTCGGGTCAATAATATTTTTGGCAGATTAACTACAGGTGTGCAGCTGCTGTGAGGAAATATCAGCCTGAAATTACAATGGGCTTTAATGGAGGCATGTTGAAAGTTTTTGTCACTTCATGCCCTCAAGAGGCATTTTGTTTAATTATTTTTTGCTTAATTATTTGTCATTTTTCAAGCTACGAGATGTTTTCCTACGTTTGTCATGACAAATTATGTCTCAGGAATGTAGGGTTTGGGAATTATGGCAGTTTAAAAATATGAAGGCAAATTTCAAGATTTCCTACGCTCTAGCAGTGACATCACGCACTCTAGTTAATGTTAAAATCTGAAGAAAACCTCTTTACCAAGGTCTGAACAATGTTTAATATCTCTAAAAGTAAGGATCAGATTTAAAAGTTGTGTTACACGAATAATGTCAGAAAGATGTGTAACATTTTAAAGTTAGAATGAGGTTTCTGAGTGAAAGTATGAATGAACAGTTAGCAGTTGAAGTCGCATGAAGATTTGTTGAAGTCTGAAGAATTTCTCCATTGACTGCAATGGTTAAAAATGTGATGAATTATGGGATGTATCTCTGGAATTATGAAAGCTATGAATGATAAAAGTAATAGCAATCGATTCCCGACCGAGCTGAACGTTTGATGTTTGAACGGAGTTTCTGCGATGTTCAATGCGGGAGGAGAAGCGCGGCAAAATAACGGGCGGAATAATAAGAATAAAGAATTTCGTGCGTAGAAGAACAGATAGCAATTGAGACCATTACCTTAATAGGAAAATGTTAACTTAGAAACAAGTGAGAAGTAGGGTAATTATTTCATAGACTTCTATACAATCTGTGTTGTCCTTAAGGCTACATCTCTTGTCAATCATTTTAAAATGAGAAGTGTTGATTTTACAGAGAGTAAGGTACAGAAATAGTTGTTTTTTTTACAGAAAATTCATAGGCTAAGCTATAGGCTAACAATGTTTCTTTATGTTTCTTAACAGGTAGTAAAGTGATTAAAATGTTCTCAAACGATCTGCAATAAAAGCAGCAGTGCAATTCCCTAAACCTCTAAATATTTATTCGGAAAAGTGATAATAAGCCCAACAGAAGGGTTAGGGTTCTTTTGGGAAATGCACATTGCTCTTATTTCATAACATCTAAATGTATTTGCAGGATGCCTCATAAATGTGAATTTAAATAACACAGTACCTCGTGTAAAGTCAATTTTATTTATTCCGATTCATAGAAGCATTTTTTAGAAAATATACTTATTTTCAGGCCTGAAAAAAATCTGATTCAAACACTGACTGACTTAAATACTCTTGAAGAGATGGGAGTGCTAAGTGCATGAAACACACATTTCTCAAATCATCATCATCATCACCAAAAAGCGTACTCACAAACACAGTTATCAAATGACATATTATCACAAATAAAAACATGATTGGTTACCACAATGGTTAGTGCAGTTTTTAGATTCATTATTTACACCTTCACTAGAATCAAGACAGTACAAACTCACTCTTAGTAATCACAGATTGTCAGTAAAAGACGAGGGATGAGACGACTCAATATTTTTGCACAAATGCATAAAATAGTTCATGATGACTGGAGAGACGGATTGTGTGCTTTATGTACTACGGGTTTAGAGCGCCCTTAATGCCTGAGAAAATAGCAAGTGCAACCAGTTAAAAACAGAAAGCATACCAGTGCATGCATTTTCAGCAACAAATGTTTACATGGGTTAAAATGGGGGGGGGGGGGGGGGCAGCTGTTGGAGCTTTGTCTCTTGAGTCCACACGGTTTTTTAAAAGCTTGTCTCTCTCCAGTCCTCGTTGTTCCAGTCCCTCCCCAGAAAGCTCCTCCTGGTGCTCTGGTAACGTCATAACGCGTCTCTGTTGCCCAGCTGGGGGCTCTCATAACCTAAAACAAGCAGAGACAGTGTCAATGCAGGACTGTGCAGTTAAAATGTCCTCCTTGGAAATGAGTTTGTGATTATGTGTAAAGGGAATGGTTGCACTAATGGAGCCATACTTAAGGAAAACGACTATAGGGTATTGACAGATGTGCCGATATCTTCCAATTCATTTTGGCCAATTGCCAATATACAAACCTTTTTTTAATCCACCTAATTGCAGATAACATCAAGTCTCATCTATTGGCATCATCACATTATTATACATATGCTTAACTATTACATTGGACTCCAAGATCATATTACAATTCAACAATATTAACTTACTTAAATCATTCAGAAAATGGAGCCTATTATGTGGCTATACAATCCATACAATTCAAAAGAAAATGGTGCATTTCACATGTATTAATTATTAAGAAATTGGCATTATTGGCTAAGTTTTAACCTCATGAGGAACCACAAATGAAAAGCAGAACCGCAATCTGAAGTGGAATCGTTAAAATACAAATGATTCCCAACTTTAAGTACTACACAGTTACACTTTTAATAATTCCACTGTGAAGGTGATTTGTCACTTTATTATTCATTTTGTTGAATGAGAAGTTGCAGTTTTATGAATTACAATGTTTTAAACTCCATTCCAGTGGAGTTTGGATGCTGAAGATGTGTACAAACGTAAGCACTGTTAGTCTTCAGATTAAGCGTTTCTATCCTTTTAAATTCAATGAAGGTGGGGGACAAGCTCATACACAAAGAGAGGTTTTTAAACCTCCACAGTGAAGACACACCTGTTGCTCCCACCTTAGAAACGTTCCACTGCCTATGCACTTCATTCAAATGTAATTTGATCGTCAAAAATGTAAATAATGCACTTTGTGACGTTGTTTTGAAAAGTGCTGTATAAATAAGTTATTAATATTATTAAAAATGCAGATTTCATGGTGAATCCACATCAAATAATTATTACCTAGATCTACAGAGCTAAAAGGAGAGTGCATATTGAACTAACATGAATCAGTTCAAAACCACGCTAATGTCTGCATTATGTTTAAATAGGCAACTAAATGTGATTCACTATAGAAACTGTAAGAGGTTGTTTCTGTGGCCAAACAATGAAGTTGTTGCAGGTTTATAGCTGCACTAATATAATATATGTACTAGTGTCTGTATCCGTTTTCTTTTTTTGTCACACAAGTCAGCTATCTACAACCTTCTTTAAACCATAGCAGACAGATTTCTCTTTACAATAAACCATCTGTACTCTACTTGCTGTAAACCAAACACCAGACAGACAGAGTAAGCCTAGTCTAGTTAGTGAGCGCTAAATGCTTAAAGGAGGATAACATTGGATTTAAATTCACCAGATTGGCTGCAAACACGACTCTAAACAAATGCTAATGATGTTCTGTGTTTACTCAGACTTCCAGTATTCAGATATCACACTGTACTGGAAACACAAATGTGACAATTTGGCCACTGTTGGCTAGTAAAGTAAAAGATGTAATAAATAAATAAATGAGATGAATTGATTTATTATGTTGTTAATTGTGGCTAAGTAAAAAAACATATTCTTAAGAAAACTCAAATTAATGAGTTGTCTGTAAAAAAATATTACAGATTTAGTTTTTTAGTCAACATATATCAGCAAAAGTCTGTCAACCTTTATCTTTCTGAAAAACTGAAACTACAAAAAAAGATATCCTTTAAAAAAAATTCAAATAAATGAACCTAAATTCATTTTAGGTTCCTTTTTGTCAACATATCACTAGCTAAAAAAGGAACAATTAATAATAAATACGATTTTAATAATCGTAAATTAATTTCTGGTTCCGTTTTTTTGTCATGTGACATTTTTTAAGATATCTGACAAAGGGATTTTTCTTTTTGGAGTTCTGAGTTAAATACAGAATTCAGAGATTAAAGTCATAACAAAAACACAAAAACAACATTCACTTGTGGCCCTAATCCTCAACATCTATTCCATCTAACTAAATAATAAGTAACCGAACATTCAAACTATTATAACCCAGCCTACCCACAGCAGGTACACTTCCTGTATAAGCGGCTGTTTTCCCGTCGTCTGTGACTTATCATCGTCATCATCATCTTCACAGTGATGCTAATTGAGCCTCACGCAGCAGCTTCTTGACGAACAGCTGTGTATGACGGAGAGGATTGGCAGCGGTGTTGCTGTGTCATTAGAGCTCCTAGAATTCCTCCACCACAGGATTTTCACCTCCAACGGAAAAACGTCTCAGTGTCAAAATCGACAACGAGTCAGCTAAACATGGCTGCCAATTATCTCCATAATAAGACGTGGTATCAGAAAGGAATCAGCTCGAATTAAAGCAGGAGTGATAAAAGGTTCTTTATTTGAAATATGGCGAGGTTCCCGACTAATAGCACTCTCATCCAGGCCGTGTCGGAGCGGCTGCCAGCTGCAGGGAGACGTGCTGGAGAACAGCCAAAATAACAGCTTTAAAGGATGTTTTGTGATCTCTTTCTTTGGAGAAATTCATAAAAATAGCGGAACAAGGATGCATTCAATATGTTCGGTATGACTCATCCATGTACGGTGCTATGAGAAAGTCTACAAGGATTTTTTTTGTGCAAAATTTGGTGACAAAATAGGGTTGTTTACAGATGTTCTGCTTTTAGGGGGCCTATTACGCTCATCTTCAGGTTCATGTTTGTATTCTGTGTCTCTACTGTCACATGTCTCCATGCTCTAATGTTCAAAAAGCTCTTTATTCTCCTCATACTGCTGTCTGTGCTGCAGCACCTCTTTTCACCCTCTGTCTGAAACCAGAGCCCAGTCTGCTCTGTTGTGATTGGTCCAATGGACAAAGATGTCCTGCCCCTTAGCCTATCACATACAATGTGTTGGAGCGCTAGCCAATAGAAACGCAAGTGTTACATAAAGATGTCACTATGTTACAGAAGGGAAAAAGGCCCCCAGGAAGACGTGTTCCGTGTCAGTCTTTGACGTCATTGGGCTCAAAACAACTTTTCCCATTGACTTACATTGGGAAAGAGAGGTCTGTGAATCAGCAGATACTTATTTTTAAACTAAATCAACCACCCAGTACCAACACCTTCTAACCCTTATGTTTTGTGTCTCTTGTTATCCTCAAATCATTAGGGTCTTAAAGTTGTAAAATGCGCTAAAAGCCAAATCCAGAGTTTTTTCCTCTCCTTTCATTTGCCTGAACCGAGAGCAGGACATCGGAGGCGGGGCTTAACCCTAAACCCAGGTAATATTGCTCTGGAGAGGCCACTGAGCAACTTTTATATGAATGAAAGTGTCATGCCTCCAACGCTGTATCCGGTTCTCTTGGAGAGAAACTCCCTCTGGAGAGAACTTTGGGATTTTAGCCTTTGCATGCACACAAACCTATATAACACACTGACTACAGGATAGGGAAAACCCCAAAAAGCATAATAGGACCCCTTTAACTTTTAGTCAAATTAAAACTGTGCCAGATCACATGGCCGTCATACCGCACATTCAGGAAGTGAAACAGATACATACACCTGGTCCCCGCTGGGAAGTCCAGAGAGCTGTTTCTGTACTGGGGGAAACTGGGCTTTTTCACAGGGAATCTGCGATCTGAGGACCTCTCCTGATCGTAGGGGCTGTCCGGGTCCATGCCTGAAGGGAAATGGCACGAGACACACAGACAGAGTGGGATGTGGGAACAGGGGAACAAAAAGGGGGGAGGGGGGGTTGCAGGATAAAGCGGGCAGGAAGATCTATCAGGCATGGGAGGACATCAAAATCACGCTGCTTTCATTTGATATAATGATAACAAGGCAGTGGCCATTGTTATCATTATGGAGAAAACAGCAAGATGTCAATTTGTCTCATTCATGCATGTGTAGAGCCAAACGGCATGCATGTTGAGTTTATTAAGCACACAGAGAAAGAAGTACGGTACCTATGTCGAACGAGTTGGACTTCCTGGTGTGACGCGATGCTGCGGGGAATCCATTACGGCCTTCATCTTCATCTGGTTGGTGGAAGAGTAACAAAAAACATCATCATCTGCATGTATTCTGTCCATAGTGGCCTTCTGACATCATCATCATCATCATCATCATACAGCATTCAGTAGTCTCCTTACATCTACCAGGTTAAACAGAAACATTCAAAAAAGGTTGCTCAATTCTGACATTTTTCAATAGAAAATCAAGTGTTGCGTGTTATATATGAAACACACCAAATATGCCAATAATGAGATGAATAATACGATCTAAATTAAAGCCATTAAATGATTGCCTGCTAATACAAAGAAAGGAACCTAGAAATAGATAGTGTTTTAAAGTTGGTTTGTTATCCGCCCAATAAACAGTGAAGAAGAAGAACAAGAAGGAAGAGGAGAGGAAAGACAAGAGAGAGAGAAGAAGAAGAGACAATCAGAGAAG